CGCTACAAGCTGCTCGCGGTGCTGGAGACCTCGAAACGGAATCCCGTGCTGCACAATCAGCTCTGCCAGTTAGCGCCTCAGCACGGCAACTGGTTGGATCAGTTGTTGAGGTCAGTCAGTATATTTGGAGTAAATGACGTAAGCCCATAAAAACTCCCATTGCAACGGTGCGTGAATGCGTAGAAAGTAGTTAAGATGCAAAAATGCATAAAAATAATAGTTAAACATGAATAAGTAAAAAGGTGATGCCTTTTCGAAATGTTTAAACTTCACTGTAAATAAACGGACTAGTGAAATCAAGATAGTAGTATATTTGTAGTCATATCCTTTACCTGTTAGCTAGGAGTTTGAAAGATTGCGTTGACCTTTAACAGATCCTGCAATAGCACCTACGTATCCTGTCGCCTGGAGGCTGCAATCGTCTTGATTGCCGTAGTCAGTAACCATAAGCTGATGAAAACTATCGGCAACATTGGATCGCCGCCCCTTCATTACGATATCATGGCAAGCCTGATAAAGGCGGCGGACGCTTATGATGACAGTTTTCCGGCCTTTTTTGTTGTCATGGCCTTTATGCTGCACTGCCACCAGAAACAGACGCTACTCCGTTGTGTCCTTGACCGCGGTCCGCAGGTACGTTCACTCTCGATAACCCGCCACTGGCCCCGACTGATCGCTTTCATGTACACCTACTGGGACCACTTGAGGGTGGTGGAATTTAAGATCAGTGAACACCGTCTCCTCACTATCCTCGATTGCGCCTGGCAGAATCCCCTCTCGAGAACAGCAGCCAAGGAGGCTATGAAGGCTATCCGGCGGTACACTGAACGAAGACCCCAGTTAGCTACTGTCTGGCCGACCGTGGATGTCAAAATACCGGCGGCACCCATGAACGACAGATGACTCGATTGGTTGTCCATGAGGTCGATTTATTTTTCAATCTAATTTTCACCGCAATTTCTACTACATGAATGTGTAACTGGGTCCATTTTGGACAGCTATCTTCGATTAAACAACCAAACCAACTTAATAATGCAAATTACCTTCAGTCTTACTCCTTCCTCAGTTACTTTCTGACTGTCAGACATGTGTTTTTTGCAAGCAGACATATCGCGAAGTGTCGAGGCTATTAGAGTTTAATTATAACGGTTGCGATCTTCCAAGCCCGATTCCTTAGGAGATGAGAGAGGTCATGGGGTGGCCAAAGTTGTAGGAAGAGTGTATTCTGTACAGATGGGAAGGAGCATAGTTAGGAGGAAGTTTTGACTGCCGGAGCGTACGTCAAGCCGCGAGGTGGGCTAGGTCCGGAGTGAGGTCTAGCGGCAGCCACTACACATCTGTCCGCTAGCGCGGTGTGGACGAAAATATGTAAACGTCATGCGAGAGTTAGTCATTGGCAGCTTGATCAATAGCTTAGCCAATAGCACTTTATGGCACCTGTGACTGGCTGTCCCAGAGGCAGACCAAGATCTGCGATCACGTGACCGCTCGTGGGTGTGGCGCTGGTGGTGGACAGTGCCACAGATTTGTGCGCAGTCTTGCAGTGGGGTGGGGCATAGGCAGGTGGAACAATTATCCAGATGTGGATTAAAATCGGGCGCCTTAATTGGCATGCAATCTCGTCACACGAAAATAAGCAATGGAAGTGACGTCACAGCACGAATTGCGTGCATTGAACAGCCGCCCAACACCCTGGCTTGTGTGAGTCCCTAGGGGGTCGTGCCTGGCCGACTAGCTCGCATCGAATTGCGCTTTCTCAAAGGCTTACCGATGCGGTTTCTCG